AAGATGGGCATGTAAATAGAGTGGTGCAACTACCAAAGCTGGGAACACTGAGATTTACTGGCAAACATCAGAAGGTAGAAGAGGGAAGGAAAGATCCTCCACTAGAATTTTCTGAGAGTACATGGCCCTACCAATGCCTTGATCTCAAACTCCTGGCATCCAGAGCTGTAAGAGAATCAATTCCTGTTGTTTTAAGCCTCCTCATTTTTTTAAATTTATTTTTTATTTAAGCATAGTATGCATACAATCTCAAAGTGATTATATTAGTTTCAAGTGTACAATATAATAATTCAACATATTTATATTTAGCTTTAATATCTTGACTATTATAAATAATGCTGCAATGAATAAACATAAGGGTGTATATATCTTTCAAATTACCGTGCTTGTTTTCTTTGGATACATACCCAGAAGTGAAATTTCTGGGTTGTATGGTATATTTATTTTTAGTTTTTTTAGGAATCTACATACTGTTTTCCATAGAGTTGTACAAGTTTGTAGCCCGACCAACAGTGCACAAGGGTTCCCTTTTCTCCACATTCTTACCAACACATATATTATTTTGTGACTTGATAATATCCATTCTGACTGGCACAAGGTAGTATCTCATTGTGGTTTTGATTTGCATTCCCCTAATGATTAGTGATGTTGAGCATCTTTTCATTTGTCTTTTGGCCATCTGTATTTTCTCTTTGGAGAAATGTCTCTTCAAATTCTCTCCCCATTTTTCAATCATAGTGTTTGTTGTCGTTGTTGTTGTTATTGAGTTGCATGCATTCCTTACATATTTCAGATATCAATTTCTTATCATATATATCACTTGCAAATAAATTCTCCCAGTCAGTAGGTTGCTTTTTTGTCTTGCTGAAGGTTTCATTTCCTTCAGCGTGCAGAAGCTTTTTTTGTTCAATGTAGTGCCATTTGCTTATTTTTTTCTTTGATTTCCCTTGTTCAAGGGGATGTAACAAAAAAATATTACTCAGACCGATGTCAAATAGTTTACTTCCAATATTTTCTTCTAGGAATCATAAGGTTTCAGGCCTTACATTTAAGTTGTTAACCCATTTTTAGTTTATTTTTGTATATGGTGAAAGAGAATGATCCCGTTTCATTTTTTTGTATATATCTGTCCAGTTTTCCCAACATCACTTGTTGAAGAGACTTTCCTTACTGCAGTGTATAGATTAGTTGACCTTTATTATAAATTGGTTGACCATATAAATGAGGGTTTATTTCTGGGATCTCTATTCTGTCCTATTGACCTATGTGTCTGTTTCTGTGCCAGTACCACACTATTTTGATTATTATAGCTTTGTAGTACAGTTTGAGATCAGGGAGCATGATACTTCCAGCTTTGTTTTTCTTTTCCAACATTGCTTTAGCTATTTAGGATATTTTGTGGTTCCATATAAATTTTAGGATTATTTGTTCTAGTGTTGAGAAGAATGACATTGGCATTTTGATAAGAATTGCACTGAATCTATAAATTGCTTTGGGTGGTATGGTTGTTTTAATAATATTCATCCTTCTTATCCATGAGCATGATATGTACTTTCATTTATTTGTGTCCTCTTCAATTTTTTTCTTCAGTGTCTTATCGTTTTCGGAGTATAGGTCTCACCTCCTGGGTTAAATTTATTCCTAGATATTTTATTCTTTTTGATGCAATTGTAAATGGGATTGTTTTCCTCATTTATCCTTCTGATTGTTCATTATTGGTGTGTTGGGACACAACAGATATCTATATATTAATTTTGTATCTTCTTTAGCAAATTCTTTTATTATTCTATTAATTTTTTTATTAAAGCACCAAATTTTGGCACTTTGTTGTGGTAATCCTAGGAAACTAACACAAATATAAAAGCAGAATGTTTGGATGTGGATGACATAGATTCATACATTAAAAATAAACTTTCAGAGACTTCCAGCCAAGATGGAGGCATAAGTCAATATGCTTTGCTTCCTTGCACAACCAAAAAAAAAAGAAAAAAATAATTTAAAAACAAAGAGCAAGCAGACTTCCAGAAAATCAAACTGTATGGAAGTCCAACAACCAAGGAGTTAAAGAAGAAATATTCATCCAGACTGGTAGGATGGGTGGAGACAGGCAGATGGGGTGGATAGGACACAGGGCAAGGCTGTGGACTGGGTGGTTCTACATTTGCGTGCAGATAAGTCAGGAGGAAAAACTAGGGAGAGAGACATACCATGCAACCCAGGGTTCCAGCACAGGTATCTAAAGACTCAAAACCTCTAGCTGTAAAAACTTACGGGGATTGTGGAGGTAGGAGAAACTCCCAGCCTCACAGGAGCATTTGTTGGAGAGACCCACGAGGTCCTAGAACATACACAAGCCTACCCACTTGGGGAATCAGCACCAGAACGGCCCAATTTGCTTGTGGGTAGTTGGGGAAGTGACTGAAAGCAGAGCAGAGAGCTGAGCAAGCAGCATTGTTCCCTCTCTGTCCCCTCCCCCACATACAGCACCACAACATAGCAAAGCAGTTTGCCCTGCCCTGGCAAATACCTAAGGCCCCACTGCTTACAACTTAACAGGTGGGTTAAGACAAAGAGATAGGGCCCAAATGAAAGAACAGATCAAAACTCCAGAAAAAGAACCAAGCAACAAGGAGATAGCCAACCTATCAGATGCAGAGTTCAAAACACCGGGCATCAGGATGCTCTCAGAAATGATTGAGTACAGATGCAAAATGAAGAAGTGAAAGCTACACAAAGTGAAATAAAGAAAAATATACAATGAAGGGAAGGAAACAGGGACTCAAATCAATGATTTGGAACAGAAGGAAGAAATAAACATTCAACCAGAACAGCATGAAGAAACAAGAATTCAAAAAATAAATAAATAAATAAATGAGGAGAGGCTTAGGAACCTCTGGGGCAACTTGAAATATCCCAACATCCGAATCATAGAGGTGCCAGAAGGAGAAGAGGAAGAGCAAGAAATGCAAAACTTATTTGAAAAAATAATGAAGGACAACCTCCCCAATCTGGCAAAGGAAATACACTTCCAAGAAGCCCAGGAAGCTCAGAGGGTCCCAAAGAAGTTTGACCCAAGGAAGCACACACCAAGGCACATCATAATTAAGTTACCCAGGATTAAAGATAAGGAGAGAATCTTAAAAGCAGCAAGAGAAAAGGGGAGAGTTGCCTACAAAGGAGTTCCTGTAAGACTATCAGCTGATTTCTCAAAAGAAAACTTGCAGGCAAAAGGGGCTGGGAAGAAGTATTCAAAGTCATGAAAAACGGTCCTGCAGCCAAGATTACTCTGTCCAGCAAAGCTATCATTTAGAATGGAAGGGCAGATAAAGTGCTTTCCAGAAAATGTGAAGTTAAAGGAGTTCATCATCCCCAAGCCCTTATCATATGAAATGTTAAAGGGACTTGTCTAAGAAAAAGATCAAAACTATGAACAGTAAAATGACAACAAAATCACAGCTATCAACAACCGAACCTAAAAAACAACAACAACAAAACAAACTAAGCGAACAACTAGAACAGGAACAGAATCACAGAAATGGAGATCACATGGAGAGTTATCAGTGGGGAGGTGGAGGGGGACGAATGGGGGAAAAGGTACAGGGAATAAGAAGCATAATTGGTAGGTACAAAATAGACAGGGGGAGGTTAAAGATAGTATAAGAAACGGAGAAGCCAAAGACCTTATATGTACGGCCCATGGACATGAACTAAGGAGAGGGAATGCTGGGAGGGGGGTGCGGGATGGAGGGGAATAAAGGGGGGGAAATGGGACAACTGTAATAGCATAATCAATAAAATATACTAGAAAAAAACCTATCAGTACTCCTCATAAAAAGGAACCAACTGCTGATACACACAGCAACTTGACTGGGTCTCAAGGGAATGCTACAGAGTGAAAAAGGCCTAGGTCTAAAGGTTACAAACTGTACGGCTACATTTATATAACATTCTTCACATGACAAAATTTTAGAGATGGAGAAAAGATCCATCTCCAGTGGTTGCTAGGGCTTAGGGACAGGGGGAGAGAAGACAGTCGGTAGCTGTGGCTGTAAATAGAGTAGCACGGGTGATCCTGCAATAGGAACTCTTCCGCATCTTGGCAGTGTCACAGATCTCTCTGTCTCTGTCTCTCTCTGTCTCTCTGTCTCTCTGTCTCTCTCCCCCCCTCCCTCACAGAACTAAACACACAAAAATTAATGCATAGAAAACTCAAAATTTGAATATGGCTGTAATTTGCCTCAGAGTCAATTTCCTGGCTGTGGTCTTGTACTGTAGTTTCCAGTAAACAGCTCCACTTGGTCACCTCCCCTCGCGTGTCTCTGGCAGGTGCGAGCAGGTGGCATGGGCTGCACCCCCAAGGCAGCTACCCGGGTCAGCCGGACCGCGGCGACTCTCCGCTGTCACCCACCAGTGAGGTCCGTTCCCCCACCGTGATCGGACTGGACAGGTGGAGCGCAGAGCCACTCGCCAGCCAGCCCAAGGTTCAAAAGTGCAGGGAAACTTGGAAAGGTGAAGTAGGAGCGACAGACGGAGACAAGCCAAGGAAGGTCAAGAGGAGCCGAAGTCAGGTGTGGACGCCCACCAGCAGCGCTTACTAGAAAAGCCTTGCTTCCCAGAGGCTTTGCCCACTCCCTCTGCGTGGGGACACGAGACCCAATGGACTTTTGTGGCTACATCAAACGAGAGAAGGGGGCAGGAATGCAGTCCTCCACAGGTGATGGCCGGGGCCTCCGCTCTGTGTGGCCCGCGGCTCTCCAGGGACTGGGGCAGCGGCTCGGGGATCTGCCGATCAGCCGGGGCTTTTTCTAGAGGAGGGGGTGGGGATGCTGAGTCACAGATCTGTCCTGATTCTCACCTCTCCCCAGCCCTCCGGGGGCTAAAGCAAAAGCGAAAGCGAATGCGACGCGGGGCGGCTAGTCCAGGGAGCTTCACCCGTCACCTCCTCTCGGACCTTCGGGCATCGGCACGCGCAGTTGGCGGGGCCGCCCCGGCCAGTGCGAGGAGGTGGCCGTTGTGGGTAAGGCCATGGCCCGCCTGCGGCTCCGGGACTGCTGGGTCAGCGACCTCCCCACGCTGCTGCTGCTTTTGCTGCTCCGGCCGCCGGCGACGCGGGGTAAGGAGTACGGAGAGGCGTGCGCTTGGCGGGGCGGCGGGAAGAGGCCGGGGCGCCGCCTGTAGACCGCACTGAGAACCCCACCTACGGCGGCGGCAGCGAGTCCGTCTAGGAGGAAAGGGGCGTGCGCCGACCTGAGAGGGGGCGCTGCACCCACTCGCTGGGAACACATCAAGGGACTGGTGGCGAAGGGCAGGGCGCCGGTCCCTGTGCCCCTACCCAACCCTGGCTGGCCAGGTCACTCAACGGAGGGAACTGCGAGGCCAGACTTTTAATACAACGTCCCCCCGATTTCCGAGGCAAAGGGGAAAACCCGGAGTTGGCAGTGGGAAATCCGAGCTGGAGTTTTACTGCAGTTTCGAGAAATCGTGAGCCTTCCCCAGCCCTAGGAGGAAAGCTGTGCGAATGTTGCAAAACAGGCAGTCTCAGCAGACGTCGGAGGAAGATTACCCCAATACCCTCAGACAAAAGCAAAGAACACGGGTGGGTAGTGGTAGGACTGAGTAGGGACTGCGTCCCTGAGGAGAGAAAACGTGTCGAGCAGGTTGCACATCTGGGAAATTAGGAAACAATTCCAAATTCTTAAGCAGCAGGAAATATAGGAGGGCGCAGGTTAGTGGGGCATCTTGGAGTGCGCGCTCCCAGGCAAAGGGGAAGAAATGAAATCGGTGATAGTTTGATGTAGTTCGCGTAGATGTAATCGCAGAGGGAAGAACCGAATGAGTGACTGATAGGTTTTTCTCCTGGGAGCTGGGGTGGAGTGAGAAAAAAGGATGATAAGTGGGTCTGGCTTTATACCTGTTGGTGCTTCTTAATCTTTTTAGTTTGGGAGCTCCTTGAGGGTCTGATGAAAACTATGAACCTTCTGCCCAGGAAAACACATGAATGCATATACTTACAAAACGTGCATATAATTTTGGGGTCATGGACTCACTGAAGGCCATCCATGGACTCCTCAAGGAAGTTAGTAAATCCATTATACCTCTTTCTTCCGTGTGTGTGTGTGTGTGTGTGTGTGTGTGTGTGTGTGTTTAAGGCAATACTCTCCTTCATTTCCATTCAGTCAGTCAGACCAGTCTAGCCAGTACTTGATCAGAATCATCCATCCTGGCTGGGTTGTTGTGAAAGCCATAGCGCTGTGGATTCCATTAAGTTTTATTTTCATAAGACTATCTTTGGATCTCCCCCACCCCATCTGATTACCTGAGTTATGTTGTCAGATCCTCCCAGGTGACCAACGAGCACCCTGGATGACCCCTAGAAGAGGCAGGAGATAGCCAGTGGACTGGGGCAACTGTGAAAGTGAAATGCAGCCTTAGCCAGAACCCAGCAAAGACGAGCTATCAAAGTGCAGAGAGGAACACTGCAGTCAAGGTCTCTAAAACTCATCAACTGCAGCTTTCATCTCACAAAGTTATTGCTGCCAACTGATAATTCCTGGTGCTTCCTAGTTTTCATTAAACAGCTTTATTGAGGGATAATTGACAGATAAACTGCATATATTAAAATTGCATGATTTGATAAATTTAGAGGTAAATGTGTACACTCATGAATCAATCACTATGATCAAGAGAATAAACATCATAGTCACTACTAAAGGTTTCTTCATGTCTTTCATACTCTTTACCTCCCAAATAGCCCTGGTTCCCAGGCAACAACCATCTGCTTTCTGTCACTATTAATTTGTTGCGTTTTATAGAATTTTATATAAATGCAATCATAGTATGTACTCTTGTTTGGATTCTTTCATTCATAGTAACCATTCTAAGAATTAATCAATCCACATTGTAACTTGTATGAATAGTTCCTTCCTTTTTATTGCTGAGTACTATTCGATTGTATAGATATCACCCAGTTTGCTAATCTATTCACTTTTTTCCCCAAGTACCTTTATCTTTATATTTCTTCTTACCATTTCCTTTTTTAATCATATTTTATTGATTATATTATTAGAGTTGTCCCATTTTTTTCCCCTTTGCCTTCCTCCACCCAGCTCCCCCCACTCCCTCAGGCAATCCTTACACCACTGTTCACTTCTAGGTGTCATGTGTATAAGTTCTTTGGCTACTCTATTTCCTCTATGGTACTTTACATCCCCCTGGCTATTCTGTAACTACCTGTTTGTACTTCTTAAACCCCTAACTTCTTCACCCATTCTCCCCATATCCCCCGTCCCCTTCTGGCAACCATCAAAACACTCTCTGTGTCCATGATTCTGTCTCTGTTCTTTTTGTTTGCTTCATTGGTTTTTTAGATTCAATTATTGATAGATACGTATTTTTTTGCCATTTTATTGTTCATAGTCATGATCTTTTCCTTAAATAAGTTCCTTTAACATTTCATTTAATAACAGTTTGGTGATGATAAACCCCTTCAGGTTTTTTTTTTTTTTTTCCTCTGAGAACCTATTTCCCCTTCAATTTCAAATGATATCGTTACTGGGTAGAGCAATCTTGGCTGTAGGTCCCCACTATTCATTGCTTTGACAATTTCCTGCCAATCTCTTCTAGCCTGCAAAGTTTCTTTAGAGAAATCAGCTGACCGTTGCATGGGAACCCCCTGTAGGTAACTAACTTATTTCCTCTTTCTGCTTTTAAGATTCTCTCTTTATCTTTAATCTTTGACATTTTAATTATGATGTGTCCTGGAGCGAGTCTCTTTGCATCCACCTTGTTTGTGACTCTTTGTGCTTCCTGGACTTGCATGTCTAATTCCTTCACCAAATTAGGTGAATCTATTTCGTTCATTATTTTTTCAAATAGATTTCTAATTTCTTGCTCTTTGTCTTCTTCTGGCACATCCATGATGTGAATGTTGGTATGTTTGAAGTTGTCTCAGAGGTTTCTTACACATCCTCATTTTTTCGGATTCCTTTCTCTTCTTGTTGTTCTGGTTGGTTGTTTTTTTTCTTTCTTATTTTCCAAATCATTGATATGATTCTCAGCTTCATCCATTATACTGTTGTTTCCCTATAAATTGTTCTTATTTCAATCAGTGTATATTTTGTTTCTGATTGGATCTTTTTTATGCTGCTGATGTCTTTGTAAGTTCCTTGAGCATCCTTGTAAACACTGTTTTGAACTCTGCATCTGATAGATTGCTTATCTCCATTTTGTTTAGTTGTTTTTCTGGAGTTTTGATCTGTTCTTTCATTTGGGCCATGTTTATTTGTCTCCTCATTTTGGCAGCTTTCCTGTGTTTGTTTCTATGTATTAGGTAGAGCTTCTGTGACTCCCTGCATTGGTAGAATGGCCTAATATAGTAGGTGTCCCGTAGGGTCCATTGGCACAGCTTCCCTTATCACCCAAGCTGGGTACTCGAGGTGCACCCTTCATGTGTGCTTAGTATACCCTCCTTTTGTAGATGAGCCTTGATTGCTGTTGGCAGGTCAATGGGAGGGTTTTACCCAGGTTGGTCAGCAGCAAGGACTGCCTATGACCACTGACCACCAACCTCCCTGCTCCGTGGATCAGCTGTGCAGGGGCAAGGCGGTGGTGCCTTGACATGATCTATAGCTGTCCACTGGGTACGCAGGCCCTGGAGTTTCCCGGGTGATGTAGGCCAAGGTCAGCACCCACCTATGTTTTGTCAGGGGACACCTTGCCTGAGCTATAAAGCAATCTGACATGGCAGCTACTTGTGCTGTGCTTGAAGATTCCCAGGTAAAGCCAAGCTGTGAATCTAGGCTGGCTTCTGCTAGTGCTGGGCTTGGGGCTGAGGCTCACTGAGGCCAGCTGTTGCTTGTTTGAGAGGACTTAGGAAGTTGTGAAGCATGAGCCAAGACCAGCCATTCATATGAAAAAGTCAGGGTTAACAGTTTGGGTGGGCCAGTAAGTTAGGTGGGACGTAGTCTTGGAGGATCTTCAGAGCAGGGGCAGACAGTGTTAGCTAGGTTGATGGAGTCTCAGATATGGCACCTGCCTGCTGGCTCTGTGACTGTGTGCGGAGGGTTCAGAAAAGGGACAATGGCCTCTGTCCACCTTTCTATCTGGGAGAAAGCAGTTCTCCAGCTCTTGCCTTGATGCCAGACACTTCAGTTCCTTTCTATATGCCGCTGGTACCTTTCAAGCTGCTACCCTGGTACTAGAGTTCAGAGGGAGTGAGTCTGAGTAAATTCATTTGCGGGTTCTTTAAGAGGAACTGCTTAGGACTCCAGTAGTTTCTTCCACCAGCTCAGTCCCTGCTGGTTTTTATAGCCAGAAGTTTTGGGGACTTATCTTCCTGCACTGAAACCCTGGGCTGGGGCCTGATATGGGGCTGGGACTTCTTGCTCCTGAGATATCCCTCCTGAGGTTTTATCCACCACACATGGGTGTGGGACCAACCCATTCTGCATCTCTGCCCCTCCTACAAGTCTTGTGGGGTGTAGTTTCTTTAATTCCATAGTTGTCAGACTTCCATTGAAATTGATTTCTGACAGTTCTGAGTGATAGTTGTTCTATAGTTTAGTTGTAATTTTGATGTGGTTGTGCAAGGAAGTGAACCATGTTTGCAAATACCACCATCTTGACCAGAACTCCAATTCACTTGTTAATGGACATTTGTATTGGTTTGGTTTTTGGTTATTGCATATAGAGTCACTATGAACATTTACATTTTGGTTCTTGTGTGGACATACAAGTTTATTTCTCTTGGTTAGAGAAAATGACTAAGTGGAATGGCTGGATTGTATGACATGTGAATAATTTTTTTTAAAGATATTGCCAAAGTATTTCCCAAAGTAATTGAACTATTTTACATTTCCATCAGCAGTGTGGGACAGTTTCAATTCTTCCACATCATTGTCAGTATTAGGTATGATTGATTTTCAAAAAACTTTTAAAAAGATTTTTCTAGTTCTATTAAGATAAAATTGATGTATAACATTGTGTAAATTTAAAGTGTACAGTGTGATGATTTTATATACAGTATGTATATATTGTGAAATGATTATCACAGTAAGGTTAGTTACACACCCATCACCTCACATAGTTACCAATTTTGTGTCTGCAGTGTGCATT